GACCGCTCAAATTACCTTCACTTCAGAAATTAACATTGCAGTGGCCACCACGCTCTCCCACGCCCTTGCATTCGGTTTGTTTGTGCATAACCAGCTTCCTAAATGCCCCGGATGCTCGGGACGTGTTTTCTGTCACGCTAGGTTCCGAAGCAGTGGTTCCCATTATTCCTGTCCTCATGCCCCATTTCAGTGTGTGGACTTTCACTGACCACCACTCGATGTCATGTGACTCAGAGTGCACGTCGCAATATGAGGACAATCCTGGAAAACGGTCGATTTTTCTGTGTTCAGAGAACCCGGCTTTCGGATTACCAAGTTGGACGAAAAGGTCAGCAACTTTGTCTCGTCCACTTCGAGCAGGATGATGATGTTGGGGTTTCTAGAAGCCAGGAAAATGTTGGCGCTGGAAGCTTGCATCGCAGCTTAGTTTTGCCATCCATGGATTTTTTAAAAGTACTGATGCATATCCCCCTGGTTTAGACAGATAATCGGTAAGGCAACAAATACTAACAAAAATAGACTAACGTGAGCGTTGCGAGGTTCAAGCAACAAGTGTGAAAAACAGTATAATGAGAGCGTAAGGCTCCGAATATGTACTCCCTATCCCCGTTCAAAGTTCGAAACCCCAGGTAGTTGAAAATAACTGTTCTGAACGATCTGGAGTGAGTTATGTTACCTTATGTGATTTTAATTTTAGACGTGGCTCACTGGACTCCTGGACAAATTGACGTCACCGGTTGTGGATTACCTCATGAACTTATTCGTTAATTATGTAGACCCCTGTCTGGAGTTTGTCACAACACAGTGCACCGATGTCATTCCTCAGGTAAGGCCCATGAGCTTTTGAACTCTCCTTACTTTAAAGTTACTTTATAGCAGTCATTTGATCATCACTCTAACCTCATGTGATATATCTTAATTTTTTTGCGGACAATTTACAGATTGTTTGTTCCCCGGACTTGAGTAAATTCAAAATGTGCCTTCAGTATGAACTCAAAAATAATAAATGTATGGAACTTTAGCCTCGTTCTCTGACATTCCGATCACTCAAATCAATGTGGCTAAAGCTGATAAGTTTTCGCCTCAGGTACCCATCGCGAGAGTTCAGACAATGTGCAAACTACTCGAAGTCCTACTCACAAACCCGAACGCGCCTTCGATGACTCAGGAAAAGCACAAACTGAATCCGATTCTTGCCATGTCGTTTGTGTTCTCATTGATCTGGGGTCTGGCTGGTGGAACAATCGATGCCAACTGGGATCAGGTGGATGCGTTTGTCCGCAATGTCTTCGATGACGTTGGTGATGCCAGGGTGGGTCTTCGTGTGTTAATTATTGAAAAGTCGGTTTTGTCTTTACCATTACTCATCAATTTGACTTTTTTAGTATGAAGATATCTTCGAAACATGGATCGGCAAGCATGCTCGAGATAGCTCCGTGGTTGAAGCGCGAACTTACTGATAGGAAGGCCCAAGATTCGAACACAACCACAGGCATCTCGATTGCTCTTACGTAGGCTTGGGCAACCTGGCAGCATCTCAA